GCACATGGAGAGAGAGAAAGAAGAGAGAGTGAGCGAGTGCCCATCAGCTAGTAATTCTTTCAATGCCCACAAGCCACTGGGTTGGGTTGAAGTCAGGAGTTGGGAACTCAGTTAAGATCTGCCATGTGTGTGACAGGGACTCAATAGCTTCAGCCATCACTACTGCCTCCCAGAATTTGTACCAGCAAGAGGCTGGCGTCAGGAGCTAAAGCCTTGCATGCAGCTCAGGTACTCTGTAATGGCATGTGTACATGCTTACTGGCATTTCAGTTACTGGACCAAATGCCTGCCACTGCCCTTCATCAGTGGATTTGTTGCCTTCTGCAGAGTCTAGTCTCCTGCTACTATTTATATTCCCTTTGTTATTATTATCTAAGATTTATTTCAACATTATAAATTTGCACTATTTTCCATCCATCCATCCACACATTTTTTCACTGCAGTAGAGAGAAATATGTAATATAAAAATGTCTGAATACACAGGCAAAATCAGAAAAGTATGGCTCCTATAAAATAGGTATTTTTCCCAGTAATGATGAATGAAAGGTCGTCCAGATTAAAATGATAAAGTAGATTTTCAATGAAAAATAACATTAGAAAGAATCAGAGAGAACCACAAAGAACAGAATGATATTTTGGTAACCTAGATAAGGCACAATGGTATCTGGAACTATTGTAGAGTAACAGAGAGATGGATTTGAGAGAATTTTATTAAATGAAATCAGTCTTACTTACTAATGAATGCAGTCAGTGATGAATAGCCAGCACCATTCACTTGAGGTAGAAAAGTAGTAAGCTTGGTCTTAATTTCACTGGATTAGGGTATGTCACAGTTTTGTTTAAATATTTCTGTATTTATTTTTCTATGTCTGTAAGTTCCTATGACCAAATCTTTAGCATGTCCAGAAAAGAAACACACAAGAACACGTTTGCATAAAATAATATCATAGAAGGTACACATTAATTATGTATCATAAGAGACAAATGATGAAGGAATACACATGGTTATTGTTGGTGGCTTAAAATTAGTGTTTAATAATAATGGGATATATACATGAATTTCTGGAGAAAATTCTCAATAAGCTAAAAAATTGCACTTATTAATGGGGTGTTTTTACAGTAACCTAAGCTCTTCTCTTCCCTCATTATTTGTATGTTAATAAAAGTGACATCTACTGCAGAAGTCTTAAAATATTTTGGCCTTAGGATTCCTTGTAACTCTTGCAAATTACTGAAAACATCACATATCTTTAATTATAGCCAGTATAGACATTGATATTTATCATATTAAAAGCTAAAACCAATTAGCATTAAGTATATATATTTAGTTTTTTATTCTAATTTTAATTATTTTTGATAGATTTCAATATGGTTTGTAGATATAATTCTAAGAACAATGATATTCCCTTTCTTTCTCCCTCCCACTCTCCCCTTCTCTTCTTTCCACACTTCTTCCTTTTCTCTTTCTTACATTAAGTATATATTAATCAATCAATTAATTAAACTAGTAAGAAATACATTATGTATTAGCCTAAGCAGAACATTTTTGAAAAATAAAATGATGAAAAACTAAAATAACTTAATGAGAAGAGTGGTATTGTTTAAAATTTTTGGAAATCTTCATAATTTCTGGCTTAATAGAAAATAGTTGGATACCTGTATCTGCTGTGCTTAATCTTTTGAGTTATTACATGTCCTATGGCCCTTGTAAAATCCCATCATATGCTTGTGAAATAACATGAATGATTCTTTTTTTAAAGAGCACAAAGCCAAATACTATTACGAAAATAATTATGACCTCAGGAACTCTCAGAAGTGTCTCAGAAACCACCCAGAGGTCCCATAAAACATTTTAAAAATCATTAATTAATTTATTTTTAAAAGATTTATTTATTTTTATTTGAAAGTCAGAGTTACACGGAGAGAGAAGAGGCAGAGAGAGAGAGAGAGGGGTCTTCCATCCGATGGTTCACTCCCCAATTGGCTGCAATGGCCGGAGCTAAGGCGATCTGAAGCCAGGAGCCAGGAGCTTCTTCCTGGTCTCCCACCCAGGTGCAGGGACCCAAGGAGTTGGGACATCTTCTACTGCTTTCCCAGGCCATAGCAGAGAGAGGGATCGGAAGTGGAGCAGCCAGGATTAGAACTGGCACTCATATGGGATGCCGGCGCTTCAGGCCAGGTGTTAACCCGCTGTGCCACAGCACCAGCCCCATGAGAATCATTAATTTATTAAAGTATAAGATAGAAATGACAAAAAGTCAATCATAATAGATTTCAATATGAATAATCATAAAATACATGTTCTCTTCCCTAAAAATAATTTTCATGCCAGGAGATAGAAGAGTATGTCAATGATAGAGTAATGATCTTTTTTTATGACATGTCTGGTTAAGAGAGCTGATGTTTGGGGCTGAAGCTCTAATTGGAGATTTCCAACCATGGTACATATTTGAATCATAGAAACTTGAGAGTGTGTTCATGACTTCAGGTAAGATCTGAATACATGTGATGCCATGAGCATTTGGTGTAGCGGTTAGGATGTCACTAGGGATACTTGTATCCCATATTGTGGTGCTTGGATTCAAGTTTGGCTTTGCTTCCTATTCCAGCTTCCTACTAATGCATACTCTGGGAGGCAATAGGTAACAGCTCAAGTACTAGTGTCCCTGCCACCTCATGGGAGACTCATGTCGAGTTCTGTGCTCCTAGTTTTAGCCTGCCCAGCCCTGACTGTTGTAGGCATTTGTGTAGTGAACCAGTAGCTGTATGATCTTTCTCTGCCTCTGTCTCTCTGCCTTTCAAATAAGATAAAAATAGACATAAAACTTGTATAAAATACCAGTTCTACATCTTTCCTTAAATCTACCTGTCATCATCCAAAGTCAGATTTCTAGGAATATCCTGTTTCTATGATTAGCACAGAGTTGGTCCTCTTATATAAAGCCATACTAAAAGTGAACCATAATGAAGAAGGAGATGGGAGAGGGAATGAGAGGTGGGATGGGAGGTAGGATGGGAGCTGGGTGGGGTATGGGGGAAAGAACCATTATATTACTAAAATTGTATCTATTTAAAAATGCATTCATTAGATAAAAATGAAAAAAATGAAAAATAACCCAATGAAAACACCCTATTAGCTTTACCTTCTAAATCTCTTCCCAATTTGTTCTCTTTACTCCATCTCCATTGCTGCTACCTCAAGTCTCACAAATTTACAGTTATCTTTCACTGGAACTATGTAGTGTCATCTATAGTCTTGTTCTTTCTGAGCTTCCTGGCATGCAACTCCATCTAGGTCTCCTACATGGGTTGCAGAGTCCCACGTACTTGAGCTACTTTCCTCTTCCTTCCCAAGGCGTTAGAATGAAGCTGTATAAGAAGCAGAGTAGCCAGGACTCGAATCAGTATTCCAATATGGGTTGCTAGCTTTGCAAGCAGAGGCTTAATCCACAATACCAGCCCCTCCTAGTGATTTATAATCCATCAGTTAATGTGGCTGCTTGCTTATTTTGCTCCAGCCACACTGGTCCTCTTGCTGTTCCTGGAACACTCATGTTATCATTACCTCAGGGTCTTTGCACCTGTTCCAACTTTCTGAAATGATATTCTCTTATTTTTTTCATATATAACTTGACTGTGTCCTCAGCATTTTACTCAAAATCTCTCTGTATGATAAAGGAGGATTTTCTTATCTCATCCATTCCACCACCCTCAATCCCTCACTCAACTTTGAAAGTCTGAAATAGTTAATCATTTGCTTTTCTATTGTCTGTCTCTTCCTCAGACAAGTAATTCATGAGCAGGTCCTTTGTTATCCTTCTGCACATTATATCCTTAGAATGCTTAACTAACTGTGCCAGAAAAGAGTAAACAATCAACGCCCATTTTTTCCCAGCTAACATGTGCTTTTTCTTTAAGCCTCTGAAGGCAGCCTCTGTGGAAATGCTCCCAGGCCTCCTCCTGCTCAGGGCTGTCTCTTAGCTCCCTCATACATTTACCACATTTTCTCTATGATACATCTGGCTCTGCTGCTATGCACTTTATTTTAGAACTGAAAAGAACAAGGTTTATTGTGAGTCTCCCAGAAATGCTAAAAGGTACGTTAGAAACTTCCATATATACTATATATAATTATGTACACAATATTATGAGATGGACATTGTTAGACCCCTTTCAAATGGAAAATTGAGTTCAAATAAGTAGAATAATTTGCCCATATTACAGAGTTAAAATGGTTAATATACTTTCTTGTATATCAAAATAACTCTTCAATTCATTGCAGGGGATGGAACATATGAGCACATAGTACTATAGAGACTCACTGTGTGTTGTTTGTATGCCTCAGAGTGCTCAGTGGTTTTTCTCAAGTTCTGTGTGCCCATGGGCAGATGCACAGAGATAAGCCACCCATGACCCTGACATGCACATTCTACTTTACTCTGCATGTATAGCTCATTTTCAACCTCCCACGTGAAGACACCAAGGTTCACATATAAACATCATTACAGAAACAGTTTTCTTATGACAGACAGGGTGAGGCACTATTGGTGGGGTTAGGGGCATGACAAAAATTAAATATCATGAGAGTGAGAGAGCGATAATACCTTTTATGGCCTACTCTTGAAAATCTCACAAGGTCATTTAACAAGGTTCAATTCATTGAGGCAGTTACAAAGTCCTACCCAGTTACTTACAAGGGCAGAATAAATAGACCTAATACCTTGATGAAGAGTGACAAGTTTCTAGAAGAGAATGTGGGGTTAGAACATTTTTGTGGCCAATTTTGGAAACTGTAATCATCCTATATTAAATTCTCCACACCTGCACTCTTGATCTTCTGCCTCCAGTGTCATAGTTTGTGAGGGCTGTGACATATTGTTCAGTCCCACGTATATTTCCTGAGTGAATGATGTCTTTTCAATTGCATGCACAGGTATACCATAAAGAACGCAGGAATAAGGATACATTTAAGGAGATAGTGTCTCCAAGTCTAGACCTAGTTAGCAACAAAAGGCATGGGTCACCCGGTCTCGGATCTGTTTGGTCTTCACACTGTAGACAATGGGATTCATCAGGGGAGGGCATAGAAGGTACACAAAACCCATGATCACCTGGACCAGATGGGGTGCCTGCTTCCCAAAGCGGTGGATGACAGACAAACCAATCATGGGGATGTAGAAGAGGAGAACAGCACAGATGTGGGAAACACACGTGTTAAGAGCTTTGAGTCTCTCGGCCCTGGAGGCAATGGAGAGCACAGTGCGCAGGATCATGGCGTAAGAGAAGAGAATGAGCAGTGAGTCCACACCCACCGTGGAAACAATGACAAACATGCCATAGATGCTATTTGCCTTGATGTCTCCACAGGCCAATTTCATTACTTCTTGGTGGAGACAATAGGAGTGTGAAAGGACAGGGGAGCCACAGTAGGGGAATCTTTTGAGCATGAAAGGCAAGGGGAAAATGAGTGCCACACTACGGCCCAGGGAAGCCAGGCCAATCCTGCCAATAACCGTGTTGGTGAGGATGGAAGCATAGTGCAAGGGGCGGCAAATGGCCACAAAGCGATCAAAGGCCATGGACAGCAGCACGGAGGACTCCAAGAAGGACAAGCAGTGAATGAAGAAGAGCTGGGCAAAACAGGCGTCATGACCGATATCTCGTGCCCCAACCCAAAAGATGCCCAGCACCGTAGGGATGGTGCAGAGGGACAGACCCAGATCTGTGAGAGCCAGCATGGATAGGAAGAGGTACATGGGCTCATGAAGCGAGGGCTCTGTTTTGATGATAAAAAGAATGGTGCAGTTTCCCAGGATGGAAACTAGGTACAGGAAGCACAGAGGGATGGAGATCCAGATGTGCGTGTGCTCCAGCCCAGGAATGCCAGTCAGCAGAAAGGTAGAGGAAAGGCTGCTGCTGTTTCCCAGGAAGCCCAGGGCCATGGTGTGTGGAGAGAAGTGGGGAGCTGGATTCCCTTCAGAATTCTGGAACAAAGTGAGAAAGCACTGGTTGTACCTGGCAGAAATTCTTTAAAAAGAAGAAAAGAGATTAGAATCAAACAGACCTGGAATTGTACAGCTTCTTCCTTAGTTTATTTCATTCTGGTCCCTGGCTTCCTTGCAAAACCTTTTAAGGGAAATATTTTTTCAGTTTCATGGTCTCAACAAGAAGCAAAGATGTGGAACTGTGAAGTGGCTTGCTGAGGTCATGCAAGAGTTAATCTAATCCTACATGAGCGTTCCACCATTCTCACTCTGCTGGGACCTCTCTCAGTAACATGCACTTAGGAGAGAAGAGCCTGGAATGGGGGAGAGTTTGGGATCTCTCCCTGTGGCATTGAAGGTCAGTAATTACTGTGCCCACCACTGATGGTTGCTGGTCTTATTGGCAAACTGAGTTCTATAGCAGCAAACTTGTACTTCCTTGAATTCTAGCGACTGCTCTTTCTGCTGCTTCCAGCTAATGGGCAGCAGCAACTTTATAATTTCCTTGGCCACGATGTCTACCCCTTATGAATAGACCTCTCATTAAACACTCATCGCAGGCCTCTTTTCTCCCAAGCCCTAGTTAATGCCCCAACTTTCTTCTGTTTTCCCATTCTTTCTCATGTCTTGCTTTTGATGCTATTATTTTATCTTTATCTTTCCTTTCTCTTTTCTATTTATTTTTAACATCACAGGCCACATAAAACTCCTAGCCCTAGGCACAGAGTAACCCTTCACTCACCTTCTCCCTCCAGATAGCTCGTAAATGCTGCTCAGCCCAAGGAGAACTGTGAGGCTATTCCCGACTCCAAGAATATGAAATCAAAGGCACAATATTCCGCCCAATAGTAACTGATATTCCTGGAAGTCTAGAAATCCAAGTGCCATAGGTGGATCTAGGTGGGAGATGTTGAAGCCTCATTAGCCATGGACACATTCTTAATCATAAGGCTGAATCTACCAGAGTCCATTGAACAAAGGGCAATGACACTGATAAGGCTGTTTTCCCACAGAGGAGGCAATAGACTCAGGTGAATTCAATCACTGGGCATAGATCAGGCTCCAGTTAAGGCCTCCTAACTTCTGGAGCAGTGATCTGCCTACTCCCCATTAATAATTCCTCTAGAATGTCAACTCAGAGAAGACGGGGGACTCATTTTGCTTCCCTCTGTAAAGCCAGTGTTCAGAATATGACCTGGTGTCTAGCATGTGTTCTGCATAATTTCCTCCTTCATTTGAGAGTTGAATTGTATTTAGTTTGCTATTAGTAAATTGGTGCATATTTATCTTTTGAAAATATCCAGTAAATAAAGTTATATGTTTGGTAGCATGAGGAAACAAAGCTTACAGAAAATTTTAACATTTCTAAAATCAGAGAAATAGTGCCCAAAATGAAATTTCAACCATGATTTGACTTCTATAAATCCCAGTCTGTTATACTGTTATAACTATTACACTGTTATATACAGTATATACTGTTATATAGCTGTTATACTTTCTTCCCACATAAGTGATAATTCAGTGTCAAAAAGAAGCAGTTAGCTTACTAGGCATTTTTTAGAAGTGCTGACTCTTCAGCTAAGTTAATAAATTAATTTGAAAAATACAGAAATATATAGATAGACATTTTATTTCTCACACCAAATACCAGTGACACTAACAGCCAGTGTCATTAACTCACTGTCCACTTGAGGTCAGGTTGGCTACTGTGTTGTGCTCCTTCTTTTCTGGTGTGGCCATGACTTGTGGTTACCACATTATTCATCACTGTGAATTCAGGAGAGCTGTGGTAAAGGGACTTGGTGAGGGCAAGCAAGCTATGTGCTGGTTCATAATACAGCTCATAAAGCCTAAGACAGAAAACAATTCTGACATGAAGATGAAGTAGGGTCATGACAAAGAAAGAATCAGATTTAGACCTTAGAAATGCCTTGTAAATATTATTACCTTGGTTTGCTATCAAGGAAAGAAGTTTTAGGGAATTTATTAATGTGTCTAAAGTCAGATGGCCAATAGGTACTAGAACTGAAATTCAACATAGATCTCTGGGGCTGCAAAGTTCATATTGAAAATTTGGAAAACTTTAGGTTAACAGATCCAAGCAACTATTTAAATGAGCGGAGTTTAAATGACAAATGGAATCAATAAAATCTGGTTCCCAACTTCTGTTTGCTATAAACTTCGGAGAGACTCTTTTTGGAACTGGAAGTTGTGCTTCATATTTTCATTGGAATAGAGAAGAGTAGGAATCAGAAGGAAAATGATGAAGATAGGTTGGAGGAGGAGACCTGGAAATAAAAAAAAATTGGAGTAATGAAGCAGAGAAAATCTGCCCTGGAAAGATCACTTTGAGCATGTTGGGTGATGAGCTCTTAGTAAGATAACTAACTATTCTAACTGCTTATTATTTAAAGATTATCAGTGTAGCCCTTATAAAGGTTTGGGGAGGAGTCCATTGATCCTGACCAGTAGGAAAGCAGTTGTTCAGAAAATGTGAACATGAGGGGATTTTTTTAACTTAATATTTCATTTACTATCTTTGAGATAACATTTTAATTTACAGTATATCAAAGGCTTAATGCTCCACCAAATAAAAAGACATAGAAAGTAAAGAGACCATAGTTGAACAGAAAAATAGACAAAGGTTACAAATAATAATCAAATAAAAAGATGCTCAACTTCACTCATACAAGTTTTAAAATAAAATAGTCACAAAATCATGAAAACTTTAGTAGCATATGATCCTTAGCAATTTTGTTAACAAAAGCTTGACAAAACACTGGATTAAAGTAAAACTGTCATGAAGGGATTTAAGCCCTGGCCTTTCTGCTTGTAAAACTACTTTTTGAATGTACTTAAGCAAGGTCAATGGCGATTCCAATTCTGTCACTCACACTCTGTGGTCACTCACAGAAATGTTCTTTGATGTCACAGAAAAGATTTTCTTCTCAAGGATCAGATTCTTTTCTAGCTATCTCTCTCCTGGCTTATTGGAAGTAACTCCTGCTTCAATTCATCCTCTGCTTAAAGATAAGGAGCATATGCTGAGCCATCAACGAAGCTCATCTCATGCCTGTACCTCAGTTTTGCCCAGAAAACTTAGTTATCACCCTTGGTCTCATCAATACTCCCACTGTTATTGAAGGGATGGGAAACCCAGGGAGTGAACAGACGTGAGAAAACTGTTTTCTGCTGCCTGAGCTACTGCTAAGAGCAGACCTGGGTTCCCACAAAAGGAATTAGAGTTGATTATATTGGTTACCATCTTCTGCAGGCACCCGCTCTCCTCTCCAATGCTACAGCTCAGGCTGAGCCTTCTGAGATCTCTTAAGGCTTCACAACTCAGCACCTAGTATTTGCCTAGCACATTGACTCATTGCACGCCAAGGTGAGGTCCAGAGGCTCTAGACCTTACAACAAAAGGAGGGAAGGCTGAAACCGGCAGTCATGGGAAGGATGGAGAGATTGGGGAGCGGATATTTAAATCCCAAATTTTTATGCAACTGCCTGAGGTACCCATTGAGACAAAGTTGAGGTGTCTTTAGTCAATTCCCTGCCAGGACTGGATCCCTGGATGTTATTACCTCAGACCCTGGGGATAAAGAAAAAAGAGGAGAGAAACAGCTTGGGAGATACTTACATGGAAACCCCATAGGGTACGAGGCACTGGTAGTCATTGCTGAAGGATATGGTGAAAGTTCCGAACAAAAGTAACAACTTCTGAAAGCAAAGTTTCTGTTATTGATAATGCTTGGCATATGATGAAGTACAACTATAGTTTATGCACATACGGAATGAGAATGTGCAGGCTAGATACGGGTACTTAAAAAGTCATGGGAATTATCTTTTTTATTTTGATGCAATAAAATTTTGAAATCTATGTCATAGTTTATTTTGAAATGCATAATGAATGTTTTATTTTTTCCAATTTTTATTTAATAAATATAAATTTCCAAAGTAAAACTTGTGGATTATACCAGCTTTTTTCCCCATAACCTCCCTCCCTCCCACAACCATCCCATCTCTTACTTCTTCTCCCATCCCATTTTTCATCGATTCATTTTCAATTATCTTTATATGCAGAAGATCAACTTCTTTTTTTTAATTTTTGACAGGCAGAGTGGACAGTGAGAGAGAGAGACAGAGAGACAGGTCTTCCTTTTTGCCGTTGGTTCACCCTCCAATGGCCGCCGCGGCCTGAATGCTGCGGCCGGCGCACCGCGCTGATCCGAAGCCAGGAGCCAGGTGCTTCTCCTTGTCTCCCATGTGGGTGCGGGGCCCAAGGACTTGGGCCATCCTCCACTGCACTCCCTGGCCACAGCAGAGAGCTGGCCTGGAAGAGGGGCAACCGGGACAGAATCCGGCGCCCCGACGGGGACTAGAACCCGATCTGCCGGCGCCGCTAGGTGGAGGATTAGCCTATTGAGCCGTGGCGCTGGCCAAGAAGATCAACTTCTATATACTTATATATAAGTAAAGATTTCAACAGACTGCACCCACACAGACACACAAAGTATAGAGTACTGTTTGGGTAGTAGTTTTACCATAGTAAAACATAGTACACGCATAGTACACGCATAGTACAACACATTAAGGACAGAGATCCTACATGGGGAGTAGGTGCATATTGATTCCTGTTATTGATTTAGCAATTGACACTCTTATTTATGATGTCAGTAATCACCGAAGGCTCTTGTCATGAGCTGCCAAAGCCATGGAAGCTTCTTGAGTTCACCAACTCCACTCTTATTTAGAAAAGGCCATATTCAAAGTGGAAGTTCTCTCCTCCCTTCAGAGAAAGGTACCTCCTTCTTTGATGGCCCATTCTTTCTGCTGGGCTCTCACTCACAGAGATCTTTCATTTAGGTCATTTTCTTTTCTTTTTTTTTTTTTTTTTTTTTTTTTTTTTTGCCAGAGTGTCTTGGCTTTCCATGCCTGCAAAAATCTCAGGTGCTTTT